CTTTTTGAAAAGCTATTTGTTTTATAGCTCTTGGTTAGCAGTTTACGTTTATGTCGATTTTGGCACCCATGAGGCCAACAAGTTATGGTAATCCGCGAATGAAAACTGATATTCGAAGAGCACAAAAGCCAACTCCTAGCTATGTAACTTTAGCACCTGAATTTTGAATCAATCCGCAATTAAATTTCTGGTAATGTAGATGCTTTCCATACTTGAGATGTTAGTGAAGTTTTTCCAACAATTTAATTTCCTTGATCGCCGTCTTAAAAATGCAAAATCATCAGTTGAAATTTCACTCGTGTTGTTTTTTCTAATTTTCGAATTTTTGTAAAATATCGCGTGCGCCAGCAATTTCTCTGCACAGCGACAACAAATTTCCCAGCTGTTGTTACTGGGAGGAAATTTTTTTTGAGAATGGAAACACTGCTCCAATGATCATCCATGTGGGCAAATGAGTTAATCATAGGAGTTAGTAATAGCAAGAAATATATACAATAATGCTTTTGTTATAATTGTTAATAGCAAGAAATTGATGTGGTTTAATACTTCCAAAATATTGCTTTTCAATTAATATAAAACATTTTGTTCAACAACATCTTCTTTGTTTGGTGTTGATGGTTGTGATTGATCATTAACAATCTCAACATTGCTCATAGTCTTTCTATTTGACACAATACCTTTTAGAAATGACAGTTCAGTGAAAAAGTTACAAGTTGGCAATTTGTTATTTCCTGTTCCAGATCTTGTCATTTTCTCTCTGTGTTGTAAACACTTGCGATAATTGTCCTTTAACTTTTCCCATTAACGCTTTAAGTACTCCACTAAAAATAACACGTTTTCCAATTTAAATTTCAGTCAAATAGGCGGTTTGCTGTGATCTTGAAAAGTGCCTAGAACACAATTTTCATTTCCCATGTCTTGGAACTGAAAAAAATTTGCGGGACCTAACACTTTCCAACACGCTGAGTTCAAATCCGAAAAGTTCCTGCTCCTTAGACCTGTAGTTTTCTCACAAACAGCAATTTTATCTTCACTAATTTCACAACAAATTTTTTCATTAAATGGAGTACACATGCCTTTAATACATACGAGGAAGGTTTACTTCCCATAATGAGAATTTCCCTTTGTAAATCGATTTTTGAATGCTTCTTGTGTTCGTCTGTTTCAACAAAATCTTTAAAAAGTACCACCAATGTATCAGGAAGAAAAAGAAATTTTCCTCTTGTATGCACTTTTGCAACCTTTGGTATTCATCTTTGTCTTCATGATATTAGACTTGTTACATTAACAGTTTCCTTGTTGCTCCCACTCTTGTCATCATACTCCACTTTAGTTATGCTTGACCCTTCTACTTTACCTTGGTATTGATTTTGTCCACCTTTATTTATTTATTTATAAACTTTGCCGTTTACAAAATTTACACTAGTACAGAACGGCACAGGAACGTCAACACAGCGAAGGCCAATTACGTTGATGACCTGGTTTAACAAGTACAAAACACAAAATGCACTTATGCACAGCTTAACACACAAGTAGAAAACAGCACAGTAACATTTGCAAAATATAAATAACATATATAAACAGTGAGTAATGTATATAGTTGCAAGCGAAACTAACTAATAACAGCAGACCTTTGGTGTTAGTAAGTGTCTTGCTTGGTGGCCTTTCAGACATACAGTTTTCCATGACTGTGGCTTATCTAAGTCAAAGATTGTTCCTGTGGCTCTCATGTAGTAGTTGAGCAACATGTTCTTGAAACTGGTTAACAAAATGTCCGGTTCGCATAACTCTTCTGGAAGAGCATTCCATATCCTTGCAGTTCTCACCAAATAACTGTTCTGCTGGCATAATGTTTTGGTTTTAGGTACGTGATATGTGATGTGGGAATCACTAACCGTCCGTAAACTCATTATTAGATTAACTTTGTTCGCTTGTTCAGGCATGATATCGAGGTCAGTTATTGTTAAACCTTGTGTACACTTGAACAAAAATAAAACGTCCAGATATTCATGCCAATAACTCAGAGGTAATATTTTCAAAGTAACTAGTCTGATTTGTATGTGATGTCACTTTTGAAGGGCAATGCGAGGGGATGTATTTGGTTGCCCTTCCTTGAACTTTTTCCAGTTCGCCACACATGCTGAGGTTTCGTGGGCTCCATACTTGGGACGCGTAGGCGAGGTGAGATCTGACAAGTGCCAGATATATACTGTGTCGAGTGGTCACATCTCTAACTTGAACAGTAGAACGTTTTAGCATTCCAAGCATGCGGTTTGCTTTGGTGATCTGTTTGTGAATATGGTAGGACCATGTGAGGTCGGAGGAAACTATCACTCCAAGATCTTTCTGTTGGGAACATGCTGCAGAGGACAACCATTGATAACATATTCGGCAACGATTGGATTGCGTTTTCTGGTGACACCTAGCAGTGTACACTTTTGAGCGTTGAATTTCAGCCGCCTACTATGTGCCCATTTCTCCACATTGTTCATTTCACTGTTGAGAATATGTGCGTCTCTAGGAGCTTGAATGATTGAAAAACATTTGGTGTCGTCTGCGAAGAGAGAGAAACATCAACAGAAGGCGAGGATACAGAAGAAGGGAGAGATCATTCACATATATTAAAAATAACAAGGGTCCAAGGATTGATCCTTGTGGGATGCCAGAGGTAACTGTTAGTGAGTCTGATGTTGCACCATGAACAAGCTGTTGACGCCCTTGTAAGATAACTGGTAAACCAGTTCAGTATCTGTGAACCCAAATTGATGAAGTTTGTGAAGGAGTTTGTGGTCAACGGTATCAAAGGCTTTGGCAATGTCTAGGTATAAGATGTCAGTTTGCAGTCCCATGTCTAGGTTTTTACCAATACAATCGAGCACGGAAAGGAGTTGACTTGTGCACGATTTCCCTCTTATGAAACCATGTTGACAATCAGAAATAAGTTTCCGAACGTGTTCTACCAGTCGATTGTAAATACAATGCTCAAGCACCTTCCCAACAACACACATAAAAGATATTGGTTGGTAGTTCTCAACATAATTTTTGTCTCCTTTCTTGTGAAGTGGAATGATACTGGAGAGCTTCCATTCTGTAGGTAGATCACCAGTGTGTAGTGATTTTTTGAACAAATAAGTTAGTGATGGAGTGATGCTACAAGCACATTCTTTCAGTAAACGAATAGGGATTTTATCTGGACCAGAAGCTTTGTTGGGATTCAGATTGTTGAAGACGACTCGCACCTCGCATGGTTCTAGGGTGATGTCCGAAATGGGGTTTTGTTAGACAAGGGTGATACTGGGCGGCATATCTCTTCAGTTTCCTTCAGAAACACGGAGTTAAATTATCGATTGAAAAGGTTTGCTGTTTTATCTGCATTGGTGGCGGTAATGCGAACTGAGGGAACGGTAATATCAGTGGCGATAGAAACTTGTTGTGGGATTCTGCAGAACTTAGTGCTTGTTTTGAAGAATGACCAGAAACGTTTTGGATTGGAATACAATGACTTGTTCATTGAAGCAAAAAAGTTTTCTCGACTAACCTTGATTAATTTCTTGGCTGTTCTTTGAAGGTTTTATATTTTTCCATGATTGCATCGACTTGCTATCTGATGGCGCGTCGCAGTTTTTGGCGCAACATTTCCTTTTTTAACACATTCAATATTTCGCTGGTAAGCCATGGTGGATTATTTCTACCGTTGATGTTTTTTGAGGAATGTATCCGCGATTGTGAGAAAACTGTCTCTCCAAGAAATCCTGTCGTTAATAACCGAAATGGAATCATTCGTCATCCAATCAAACTCCAACGTTTCCAATGTTTCGCCTTTTAATTTTAAATACCAAAATGTCATGTTCTATAAAGGTTGGCAATCTCACCAGACACAAGTTTTTCATTGGTTATACGCAAGGGGTTAAGTATTTGCTTTATATTGCAGTCGAGCTTGCCATAGTTGTGATTTCTGAGTTCTGTCAATCGTCAGTGAATTGTTGATTAAAGTTCTTTAATACCGAGGCAGAATTGTCTTTCTCATGTTGAAAAGCAATAAAACCAGACGATTGGTATGCCAAAATGATGTAAACGATTAGACAAGAAGTCATGAATTTATTCATATTTACTTAACTCAATTCAATCCGCCAATATTAATTTCCGACGTATATGACGGGAAGATTAAATATTAAAGAACTTCGCGAGTATTTGCAGTGGACATACGAAAATACCACCAAAAAATTCCGCTTGATCGATACTATATATTCAGAAATATTCATATAATTT